TTAAAAACCGAAGCCGCATTTCATAGTCGGAAAACGAGGTCGAAAGCGGGAGAAATCAACATTGAAATCGGAAAACGAAGTCGAGCACGAACTTTAGGCAAATCTAAGGCGAAGTGGCAACCATGCACATTTTTCATGGTTTTGAAGTCGGTCAGTTCGTAACTGAATCCAAGAATGAGACATTTTCATTACTGCACTGCTTTTACTTGTAAATGCAATTTGAAACATCCTTTTTGTTTTTAGACCTTTCTCAACATGAGTGGCTGTTGTTCACAAAGTGCCCGCCCGTTGTTGTGGAAGACCCTGTTTCGCGTGATCGCGTTCTCCGTGCTCGCAGCATCTGGAGGGTTAATTTTCGCCGCAGTGGAACATCCCAATGCCGTAAATAATTTAAAGAGAAAGGAAGAACTTCTGGTCAGCCTGAGAGAAGACATGGCAAAGAAATACAACATGTCCCAAGACGACTTTGATAATTTCATTGAGATCACTGACGATGCATTTAATATGGCTGGGCCCTCATGGAGTTATTTCCAAAGCGTGCGGTTTGCATTCGAAACATTGACGACTATTGGTAAGCCGAACCTAGAATGTTTTACCAAAAAAAAAATGTTATTTAATGCTCTCGGTGATCATGGCAGGCCATGATTCAATTTTCCGAGTGCTTGCCTCAGCTTCGTTCCCAGGGTATCTCATCTTTTCTCCTCTCTCGCTCCGGGAGGGCGGAAAGATGAGAGACCCCGGGAAAGGAGGTTGCTCCAGAACCTTCTTGCCTCTTACCCGCAAACAATTGTTGGAATATCGTTTGAATGAATAAAATCCCTATTGTCTGGGGGTGGAAAGGGAAGAGCGTTCCCACTTAACTCCAGGTATCCGATTCCCTGTCCCAAACCCGGTCAATTTAAACTGGTCCATCAAACAAACAAATAAAAAAATGCAGTCGAGACCGTGGACTTGAACTTCCGGCCCTATATGAGAATGTTTTGGAAGGTGACTTGGTCCCCCCAAGTTCACGTGACAAGTAGATTCTCGCTATATTCACTTGAGAAAGACGCTGTGACAGCGTCGAAAGCTCGTGATCGCTAAAACATTCACTCTGCTTAACTCGGCATCTCTGTTTTTATTATGTCTACTACAGAGTCGGGAAACAATATCTTTACTCGATAAAAAAAAAAAAAATATCTACTATGATTTCATTTATACTTTTTAGGATACGGCAGGCTAGCTCCGTCCACAAGTCTTGGTCAAGCTCTGTGTGTCGTATTTGCCGTACTGGGCATTCCTGTAACCATCCTGGCATTTAAGTCAGTTGGTGAGTTAATCAGCCGTGGAATCAGCTCCTTCATCACAAAGATTGAAAGAAAATACTTCAAACGAGAACCGGCTAACGTGGCGGCCAAGAGTACTGCAGTGACTTGCGTGCTTATGTTAATAATGTTAGTACTGGGAACAACACTGCAAATGTATACCGATGACGCTAATGATATGACATTCCTTGAAGGGTTTTATTTTTGGTTTATCAGTTTCTCAACGATCGGGTATGGCGATTACGTACCAGGCTTCTCTAGAACCACAGCCTCTTCCCAAAATGGTGAGCATTCAAAAAATGCAGCTCGGAAAACAGCCAATATAGCATTTCACCTGACTTGGACCACGCTTGGTTTGTGTGTGGTTTCTAGTGCGCTTAATGCTCTGGCCGAGTTCATGGAGAAAAGATCAGCAGCTAAACGGCTTCGGAGAAAATGCTGTTCATGTTTTAAGGACGATTCTTATCGAGTTAAAAACTGTAATGGAAAAGATATTACGGCTGAAGAAGAAAATTACCATAGTGTGACGTACGTTTAAATGTCACTGGTTCGCTACCAGACCTCTTCGTTTGACTGAAAAATAATCCCTTGAAATAAATAAATTGTAAAAATTGGAATTTGGAAATGTTGGTTTTTCAGGAGGGAGGAAAACTGGAGAACCCCGAGAAAACACTCGGAGCAAGGCGAGAACCAACAACAAACTCAACCCACATATGGCACCGGGCCGGAATCGAACGCGGGTCGCATTGGTGGGAGGCGAGCACTCTCACCACTGAGCCATCCCTACTCTTCTGCAGAAGCAGGATACAAGGTTACTCGCAAAATGAAAAGTCAAGAAACAGTTCTAATCAATTGACAAATGACATCCAGTTTAAGATTTTTAATTATCATTCTCTCTCACAGAACAAGGAACCTAGTTTGACACGTGCGTTAAGAATACGGTGGTTTAAAGCTTATGCGCGCCTTTTTGTTCACAAAACTGCTGTGTATTTGCTTTCCTGCGGGCAACGTAAGAACAGCCGTGGAAATCTTCATTACTTCCCTTATTTCATTGGTTACTGCTATCAGAACTATTTCGGTCGATCCTCGTTTCCATGCACGACTTGACCCAGTCCCTGATTTTCGTCAGAGGTTTTGTTGCTTAGCAACACAACTTATCTTCATGAAGTCATGCTGTCGCTGTCATACATTCGCAGTATTTCGAGTGTTCTTTTGGATTGAGAAATGCGACTCGAAACCGTCCGTCGAGTGCCATTTGACGTCCTTGTTCCACAAAATTGTTTTGGCGAGCGACGGTTTAGCATTTATATGTATATAACGGAGATGGTGAGTCCATTTAAACGGCAAAATCTGTTAATAATATAATACATCTGTGCTAAACAACGACCACTTTACCATTGCTATCTGTTTAACGTTTTCACACATACTTCAAGCAATAAATAAACATTTTACAACTCCACTGACAAATACCACACCAGATTATAAATCTGTCCACACGTTTTAACCTGTACAAGATATAGATAAATAACGTTTCCATGAACGTGCATTAAAACGTCCAAAATCCACCACTAACTTTCTTGGCCACCATTTTATGAAGTAGCTGGGTTGCGCTCATCCGGGATAGCCACTACAGACAACCCCACGGTGATACCCTGGGGCCGCAGACTATTAGTTTTTTCCTTAGTAACCTGGTAACTTTCTAATGTTTCTGCTCGCTATTTCTTCCTCTTCAAGTTGCTTCTTAAACTTGTTTACTTTTTCTGAATGAGAACAAAAATAAAGGACAAAGCAATTAGGTGAAACGTTGTGAAATACAAAAGTAAACAAGTATATGGCGCAGGAGGTCTTGGCGAGGGGGGTGGGGTGGGTTTGACCATGTCACAATGAAACAAGTCACAAAACAAGTTACTTTGAAAAATGTGGCATTACACGTGCTGCATTGAAGTCATGTTATAAGAGAACCGACCTTTTCGACTTCTGTTAGATTTTGGACGAATTAGCGGAGTAAAGGGACTACAAGTAGAGGAGTTTCTTTTTTGTTTTATTAGTGTACTGTGGAACCCTGTTAAAAAATCCGGTCACCAACGGGCCACAAAAATCTGGCCGTATAACGGGTGGTCCTAAAAAGGGGTTCTCTAAATAAGAAAATGACTGACTAAGCTTTTGTTCGGACCAGAATAAAGTGGCGGTAATAACAAGGTGGCGGTATGGCGGGGTTACACAGTAATTCAAACCAAGGAGAACAACAACACCCACCTCGAAGCTCTGTTATTTTCTCGCTTTCTTTAGCCAGTAACTCGTCCAGCTGCCTCACATAGTCTGTAAACGTTATACGGTTATCAGTTAATTCCCTGCGATCACTGATTTGCTTACTGTTTTCAACGTGCTCTTAATTATCTGTCATTACCAACCGAAAACATCCAACGTACAAAGATAAACACAACGGGGAAAAGCAGACAAACAAGAAATAACAACACAAAAAAGTTGATAAAAGGATGACAAATTACCTTCAATGTTATAATCGACATCCATGTCCACTTTTTCTATCAACTTAACACGTTCTTGTAAAAGAGTCTTGGCCTCCTGGTGATCAAGAACGATCAGGGTTTAACAAATGAAACCTTCACTTTCCATTGCTTTGAATCGGATGCCATTCTGTATTAGGGATGGGGGAAAGGAGGAGGAAGGGCTGATAGTTGGGCGTCAAAAGATCTCGATATCACAAGGATTTATACCTGTATCCCAGTTCGTCAATACAAAAGAAAAGAACATCGGGAAATATTATTGATTCCAATACATTTCCTAGGCCACCGTGCTCATAGTGTTTACTAGGGTGACTTAACAGAGACCCAACCGCCCCCCTGCCCCGCCCACGACCTTCCTCAATGTTTCCCTCACTCAAAAGATCTCTGAGACTGGGCCCGAAACATTTCATACTGATGACGTAACTTAACAGAGATCCGTGTAGCGTCTTTGATTGGTTGTTTCTCGTTTTTGAATTTTCGCGCGCAAGTAACAACTCATCGGAGTTGCCATACCGATCTCGAGAGCTACCTCATCACTGTGGAAATTTTCGGGTCCAGTCTCAGATGTGCCTCGAGCGGGAATGAATTGGACGTATGGAGAAAAAACGTCTGTCTAGTTTGGCGAATTATTTCAAGAGGTTTTCAAAATAAGCTCACTTCAATGTTGTTCCTGTCGTCATCCATCAATTTATCTTCAGCATCTTGTAGCTGCGAAACGGCTTCGTGGAAGGTGTACAACTCTTGAGATTGTTCACCAGAACCCTGGAAAAATAAATTGAAACTAGGTAAAGAGAAACGAGGAAAGGAAGGCAGAAACGATCACTTGACATGGAATACACGTACGCTGTGATTACAAAGAAGCGCGAGATCTACATTGTTGGGATGTCGGCCATCAGACAAAGCAGACATTTCTCCAGGACTCGTGTCATCTTCACCTCCATTAGACGCTGCTGGTTTTTTCTTTGCATTGCTCTCAGGACCAAGCTCTTTAACTCTGCGGAAGTAACAGGCATGGCACTCAGTGTTCTGTTTAAAGTCTGGTCACCTTGTTCACTTTAATGCTAACACTCTAAAGACCAATCCAGTTGGGGGGGGGGGGGGGGGGGGG